GCGTAACTCGCACACGACCCAAAAATATAAAAAAACTATAATTTATTATTTATATTTAAAACAAATTATTTTATTAAGACATTTTCCATTATTTCGACTATCTTCGATAGTCATCTTATATATAGCTATAGCGGGAGAATTGAAAGCTATTTATATATTATTGATAGTTAATAAAATAGAATATAATAATTAATAGAATATATTTAATAGAATATTCCTGTAAATATATTAGTAACCTATATGTTTAACAGAAAATATGTAAATAATAATGAATTATATAAAACAACTCTTCAGGTGATAATTTTTGTTAAATATGAATTAATAATATATTCAATACATCACATTTTCATAACATTGTTTCGCATTTTTTGACAAAAAATCATTTTTACTCTTGCTTTTTTTATTCTGTCTTGTATTTCATGGAAATGATAGGCCCTTTCACACAGAAATTAACTAAAAAATTTACCTAACTTACCCATTTCCTCAATATTCTTCAATTTAAACATTGTTTAGGCAATAAAATAAAATGAGGCAACATATTTCTTTGAAAATAAATTCAACTATTTATTTAATTCTACCTGGTTTTTATATTTACTTAGGAAAAATTAGCGTATCAATTGACATATGTATATGGTTATAATAAAAACTATGTATTCCTTAGCTATTTCAGATGTTATAAGTGATATACAAAAATTCTAAAAAATTTTTTACTATTTTCTATTGTATTATATATAAAAAACTTTAAAAAGTTATGTTTCTTTTGTATTTTATTGGTATTATAAATACAAATGGACTATTTGCAATAAAGTATTATATTTATTTAATACGTCAACTGATATGAAATATGCATCAATAAATGCATACACAATATACATATTTAAATGAAAACAATATTTTTTCCTCTTCTTACACAAACAAACAAAAACAATACACCTTACAAATATTTTCAAATGGTTTTGCTCGATAGACATTAGCATACACTAAAAAAATACTACCTTCGTGAAAAGATTGTTAAAAAGTTCACTACCTTCAGAAAAAGAACAGCACAACGAGTACATTGAAAATTTTACATGAGATTTCGGAAACAGTACATTATTTTAGTGTTTCGGATATGTCGCTATCATTTTTAATGTACTATTTGTGTACTGTACTGTTTATTTTCGTTCACTGTTTATAACACTTAATGCAATGCGCCGTCGATTATAGCTGGACAATTAAATATTCGTATATTGTTTGGTTCGTTTATATTAAAATTAATATTATATAAAAAATGTAACATTAGGTAATAAAGTTAAATGTTATTAAATTAGATTTAAAAATATGTTATTATTAACAACTATATATTATTATTATTTGACTATAGTCTATAATCATTTTTACGTATTGAAATAATAACATATTTAATGATAAATAAAATTTATAGGAAAAAAAAATAATTTAACATACAATAAATACAATAACAATTAAGCGACATATAAATATATAGAATTAATTCTATGTCCTATTAATTTATATTGTTATATATCTTTATATGACAGCATAATAAAAGTGCAAGTGTATAGTTACAAAACATAAAATAAACAATTGAGATGACTATTGAAGGTGGTCGAAACATTCGACATGTTAATATATACTTAACATTAAATCTGCAGTAGTACCCTGAAAATTATTATAGACTATAGTCGAAATATATATTTATATATTTTAAAGAAAAACAAAATAAGTTTCTTAAAAATGTTTTTAAAAATTGTGTATGAATTAAACAATTAATAAATTATATAATTAAAATTTGGTCATTGGAACGATTAATTATAAAATGTTATAAATCAATGAACCGAACGTAATTCTTTTTAATAACAATTGAGTTGATATAATAGTCTACAAAAAAAAACATATAAATTTATATAATTTTTTTATCATTGAAATAAGCAATTTTTTAGAATAAATAATATAAATTTTTGATGCACGGCATAACCTCTAACACAATTTTAATTAAACTATAAATTATTAATTTATTAATTATATATAGGTCCGAATATGGACCTAAAAAAGGTGAAGTTGAAAATAATCGTAGGGTTTGAGGTGATGTTTGTGCATTTTCTAAAGCGCGATGCAGACTATCATTTTTGTGTGTCACACAAGTTGCGTTCTCTTGCTCAAATTTCTTCTAGCGACCGAATTTGAACATGTATGACACGCAAGAGTCGTCATTCACGCAAAATTTTTGAAGCGTAAGGTTGTTTTACGCATGCTGTAAAAATTTGTGTGAAATTTAAAGTAAAATTATAAAATCGTAAAAAAAATTTTTAAGAAATTTTCCATAAATAGACAATACAAATAATAAAAGAATTTACATATATTCATTGTTTTTCAAGACATTTGATAATTTCCATGTTTTTGTTAGTTCAAGATTATTAACATTTAAAATTTTTTTATTTTAATAACAGGTTTTAACAAAGAAAAGTATATTTAGAATACAAAGTATTATATCTTAAATTTAGATTATTAATTAATTGTTATTATGACATATTTGCAATATTTTTTTTAATTACTTACAATTACCTCTTATAAATTTGTGTTAAAAGTTTAATTGTATATTAATTTTTTATAAAAACTTTTTATATAAAAATTTATATATTTTTAATTAAAATACAATTAAATATTTAACACAAATTTATAAGTGTAATTTTAATAATAATAAATAATAATAATAATAAAAATTATAAATACATTAATAATAAAATAATAAAAAAACGTATTAAATTTATATTAGAATTCTACATGTATCTGCTTACGATAAATTTGTAAGGTAAAAATGCTCTTGTATGACGTATGAATGTTTTACGGTGACAAACTAACATGCACAACATGTTGGCGAGAGCTGCTCACCAAACAATGGTGCAGATTATCATTTATGTGTGTCATACAACGTTTTTCTCTCTTGTATGACACACGTAAATGATACTCTGCACCGCTCGTAAAGTTAACTCACTTCAACAGTTATTAGTTCGGTTCGATCCGTTGATGTGTTGAGTTGATTTTGTTCTTTTAAATTCGTGTGGAATATTTTAAAATTCAAGAAAATATTATTGTGTAAAAAATGTCGGAATTCGGTGATGTTATTCTAAATTCTGGTGATGTGAACCAAGTCATTGGTATTAAAATATATTTAATTTATATAATAAATTATAATGAATATATATAATATTTATATATATATATTTTTGTTATTACATTAAAGATGCTCGCAAAAGCACACTACTTAGTTAAAAAGCAGTAGTTATTTCTGTAAAAGTTTTTTAAAGTATAAATTTAATTTGCATAGAATTATATGTTTATTAATGTACATATCTTAAAATTATATAAAATAAAATAATTACAGTGATATTTCATATTTGCTATATTATATAAAAAATTACTAAACATTTAATTGAATTCATACATAATCAGAGAAATCCCCTTTTTCGAATAGCTGATCTGATTGGACGTTTTGTAATGGATTTGTATCATTCTTGCTTGATTTCAAAGGAAAGTGGCTGGGTAATTGAAAAACGCATTGCACGTTCTAGATTTCAGAGTTTTATTAAGAATAAAGAAAATGCTGCGATAAGCGAAACATACAAATTGCAATATACAAACGTAAGTAAATATATCTTTATACATACAATATGGTTCTATAACTTAAATAAAATTTCTTTTTTAAAATTAATTATTATTTCAATCTATAGTTCAATAAAATTTAATTTAACTGGGCCTAATGTCGGTTATTTAAAAATTGAATTCTTAAAATTTGCTTATTAAA